TAGTATTCGCGAGATTGTCGGGTTAAGTTTTGTGTCGGTTTTTATTTTCGTAAAATGAGAGTATAAAAGTAAAGATAGAGAGTGGACAGAAGATGTCTGATGTTGCTGGGCAGTATGGCTTGAGCAGGTCTACAGCAGGCCGCAGTTCAATCTTATCTAAGAAAGATACTGTATAATCAAGAAGACTTAAGCACTAAAGGAGCAATGAAAATCACAATCTGAAAAATAAAGAACATTGAAGAGCTCATAATGGAACCTAAAACAGATCTGACGACAGAAGAACGCCAAGAACTCTTGAATGAAGAACACCAAGAAACTGCGAGATATTTTTTTTTGAAAAAGAAGATTAATGCCGATATCGGCTATTAAAGATCCTTTGAAGAAGTAGCAGGATGTCAGAACAACGGTCTTAGAATGGCATCCAAACCAGGTTGAGGTTAATAGGCTTAAGGATCTCTACAATTACAATGCTATTAATTATTTCTGAAAAATCCTGGAGAATAGAGAAAAACAATCGACATTAGACATTCTTTAACCCCCACAACGGAAAAACTTAACTAATAAAAATGCAAGTCTGTGTAGGCCTATATGTAGTTTTATTATTACATATAAATATACGTAGTAAGAAAATGTAATTTTTTTATTTTTTGGGGGTCTCCAGAACGAATTAATCAAATTTCCATAAAACCTATGGTAAATCGATAATCGGTTAACGAACAATTCAGATAGCGAACAAAGTCTTGGAACGGATTATGTTCATTAACCGATCACCCACTGTATTAATAATATACTTCTGATTTTCTGTCGTGTTTTACCAATAGAAAAAACATAATGACGTAGTAGTAGTAGTAGTGAAGTTTTACGTCTTTTATCTAAGGTAATGGCAGGCTATTTATTTGAAAAAAAGCGAAAAGAAGCGACGAACTGCAAGATATATATGAATAGGTCTGGACACGATTTTGTAATCCTTTGCGTCAGCGGCCATTTTGGAGTTTATCCATAGGGTATTCCCTACACGAGATTTGTGTGAGTCGGCTATATTTAAGTACAGAAAAAGTGAAATAATGGATTACTGTGTGGCACCAAATTGTAAAAGTAAATCTTCGAATGCTAGATTCTTTAGATTTCCTGCAGAAAAGTAAAGAAAAGCAAGATGGTTGCAGAACTGTAGACAATAAATGACAACGAACCGAACATTCTAAACTGAATACAATTGCAGATGTAAATGGCACTGTTGGGACCTTAACAGAGCCGTAGAGCATGCCCTTGGGAGCAAAAATGTGAATGGAACCTTATTCTACATGTGATCCTTTGCGAGATAAAGCCCCTCTAATTCAGCCCCACGCGATTGGAAGTCGCGATGCGCACCACGCGCTCCGGTATTATCGTGTTTAATTAGCCCATGAGACTATGCTGGCTTTAAGTAACCCACTTGACTATGGAGTACTTGATGATATAATTTTACTGGTGTGGAGGCTCACCCCAAGCGCACGACTACATGCGGAACGTCTACATGCGGAACGTCTACATGCGGAAGGCAAGCGATAGCAAGCCTTGACCTACAAGGAGCATGGAGAATAGGTAGTAGTACTGGTTCAAGGTAAAGATGTTTTCGGTCAGTAGAAGTTAATGCATTTATTTGTTACAGGCATCAATCGCCGTGCCTATAACTTAACTTGCTTGAAAGCACGACGTTCGCAAGCAAGATGGCGACCGGAACTGTCGCCATTGGATTTCCACATTTGGACGCGAATATCTGGCAAAGGTCGCATGTCTGACTTTTCTTTATTCTTTACCGATAAATATCATTATCTTGTCCGATCACAGTGCCAGGCAGTGTGTTAAACACGCGAAAAGTTTAGCGGAGACTGTATATAGCATGGAAGTAAGCTGTAGACTGATTTCGGAGAGCTAAATTTTGCAAAATGTCACATATAGAGATATGGTTTCTTTGACTTTTCTTTAATATTATTGCACCACTTTAGAAAATGCCTACATAAGTGATAAGACTAATGCAACTACTAATTTGATTAGTTTCAATCAAGAGAGCAAAATGATAAGGATGCTTTTTATTTTAAACCATTTTGATCGACTTACATAAAATTGTGATTGCATACTCATCCAAAACTATTATTAGACTGGAATTTCACTGGTTTTATGTAATTTTAATTTAATGCCGTATAAAACTAACTGCTCGTACAAGTTTGTTTAAAACCTGCACTATTCAAAAAGCCCCAAAATGGCGGCTCTATAAGTAAGATAACATTCGTGTCCAGACCGATTTATATAGACCTTGACAAATTGGAATTGTTTTTAGAGGTAAGGAAGTATTCTTTCCTTTATAATAAAATAGATAAACAATATAAAGGTGTCATTGTTAATCAGAGATTACGTGCTACAATCGACTTCGGATGAGTTTGCTCGCGATATTTTGTATTGTGGAAATAGAACTGAACAGAAAATTAAGGGAAACGGAATTTAGTTATTTTTCCGTTTTCTCTTTCTGTATTCGTTTCCTGTAATATGGAAACCAGCCTTAACGCTTTCAGTGAAACGGAAGCGCACAGACGATCTTACTGATGGATATGCCGGATATTTGAGGTGTTGATTATTGTAATCCGAATAAGCGAGAGTCTACTGTATTAGCATTATATAAAGCAGTGGCGTGCCGTGACATTTGACGATAGGGAAGCTGTTTCTGTAAGAAGCCGACATCCAGGGGCAATCAGTCAATTGCGCGTCAGTGATGGTCTAGGGTCCATTCTTGTCGTTTATTCGATAAGCCAGTAAAAACCGTAGACTTCTCTAAATGCATTTTTAATATTACAATTACATTCCGAATCGCTAGCCACGATATAAGGGCTACAATTAAAAATAAAACAATAAAAACTTATTTGGTGAAATAAAATGTGTGGTGGATGTACTGTACATACCTGGTACAAAATATTCTTCAATTGTATGAATATACTTTTAAAGAAAATTATAATTAAATATAGCTTTGTAAAAAAATGTACATAAAAATAACATAAAATCTTCTTTACTTTTTAAATCTTAAAACAATGCACTTAGTCAAATAGCTCCCTACGAGTGGCTATTGGATGGAATCGAAGACGGTTGCAAAGCGTGCATACACGCGGACTGCCAAATTCCCAGGGTGCCGATACCGGTCAATGTCAAATGCCTCTTTTTTCGCATCACTAGTATATCTCAAAGGACGCAACAGGGCTGTTGTAGATTTTAAACATTTCTCACCATAGCTGTAAAAATCTAAATATGTTAAACTAATAGTCATTTATTTTCTAACTAATTCGTTTTAGGACCAAGTGTCCTCAGAAATTTCCAAAATTACAACTTTTCGGTCACTCTCCTTGAACTGGAACAATTTCTGTTTTTATTACATTAATAATACAAAGAAATCAGTCTCCACTGTACTCGGCTAGAGATGGTTCGGTTAAGCTTTTGTTTAAGTAAAATTCCGGCTCTTTCGTCAGTGTTTTGTTTATGTCCCCAATTCCCTAATCGCTTAATTATTTAACTACTTCTTAAGTAGAAATAAGTCGAAACCAGTTACTTTGTACTCGAATATTTGTAGTCTCGAGAAAAAAATGGAAAGACAAATTTTTATGACAAACGGATACATAAATCGTAAATGTAAGGAAAATAATTTTTAGAGCTTTTTCTGTACCTCGTACATCTCTCTCATTCATTAAATTTAGCTGTAAATTACACTGTCAAAGTAACAGTTAATTTTTTAATATTATACAAGAATTGTACACGTTTTTTTTTCTATATCCCCTTAGAGATGGGATATACGAAATCGTAATATTACTGGTTTAACATTGAAACCCGTGAGTAATATAAAATAGGAGAGCGGAATAAAAATATCAAATATTTTAATGGATTTTTTAAACTCCTGTCAACTACTGTATACAGAACTATCATAAAAACGTACCAGTAAATTGGGTTAAGTTATAAATCTACTCGTGATACACGTAATCGGGCGAGGGCGGCCAAATATCTAGCAGGTGGGCGGCTAACAGCCCAGAACCGGTCCTGGATAGAATTGAATGCAGTATACGTGTAGCATCCACCCGAGGTCCTAGGCTTCCACCGGCTAAACCGGGTGAGGTTGGTGCTCTATAAAGCGCATGCGCGAATCTGGCTTTTTGGATGCTGACGATACAGCGTTTCCACTCCGCCACTAATATTTAAATATACAATAGCAATCTTACCTTTTTTTTTCACGTGTAGTGTAGAAATTTGTAATAAGGTATATAATGTGGTTATAGTAAAATATCGTGCGATTATTTTCATATAATTAAAATTAATATGTATTTATTTTTTTAGAAAATACAAGGGAAGCGGCACCTCCACCGCTTCCAATGACGGCATGCCACTGATATAAAGTACAATTATATGTTTGCCTTCCTACATCCTGCCGGATTTAAGAGATTTTTCGTTTTATTTAGCAATATGTTTATTACTTATATGAACAAATATAAACATCCGAAAAAATAGAACTTAATTTACAAATGTTTATATTTTACTATTTTAAATTATGAATGTATCGTAATATAGAAATTAACAATATATATTGGTTTTCGCATCACTAGTATATCTCAAAGGACGCAACAGGGCTGTTGTAGATTTTAAACATTTCTCACCATAGCTGTAAAAATCTAAATATGTTAAACTAATAGTCATTTATTTTCTAACTAATTCGTTTTAGGACCAAGTGTCCTCAGAAATTTCCAAAATTACAACTTTTCGGTCACTCTCCTTGAACTGGAACAATTTCTGTTTTTATTACATTAATAATACAAAGAAATCAGTCTCCACTGTACTCGGCTAGAGATGGTTCGGTTAAGCTTTTGTTTAAGTAAAATTCCGGCTCTTTCGTCAGTGTTTTGTTTATGTCCCCAATTCCCTAATCGCTTAATTATTTAACTACTTCTTAAGTAGAAATAAGTCGAAACCAGTTACTTTGTACTCNCCTCTACCTCTTTGGAGGCACAAGGTACCTGTTCTGATTCCACGATTGCACGTGTAGGTCCCCTTGTACCTCATGGCACGTTTGGTGCAGAGACCATAACGACTGAGCAAAATGAAGAAGTCGCGACGGTACTGCTTCGTGAGGATGGCGTAAAGAAAAGGATTGGCGCATGAATTGAGCGGATAAAAAAATACCAATAAAATTTTAGATTTGGTGACATTGATAAGTGGATATCCGGCGATAGCCGTTAGACCAAAGAACGCTATCGGTGCCCAACAGGCAAAATCTGTAAATACTAGCATGGCCATTCTTTTAGCTACAGTTTTGTCATTTGCTGTGGCTCTTGATTGCTGTCGAGTAATAGATAAGTACATTTTTCCATAACATTGACAAATAAGGAGAAATGCAAGTCCATTGATGGTCAGTAGCGTAGTGAGATAGGTTAAATCTGAACGAGTTTTGTTTTCCATTGGGAGACATATACTAGTTTTAGCGTAATCACTAATTCCTACGAGAGGTAAACTCGCCATTGTTATGGCATAAATCCACCCACAAATCATTATCTTTGCAGCCATTCCTAGTCGTAATCGTTTGTTGAGATGTATGGCATAAGTAATCGCATACCATCGTTCTAATGTAATAACCGTAAGAGTAAATATAGATAATTCACTGGCAAATACTGTCAGGAAACCAGCCACTTTACAACCAGAACCTGTAAATATTAATATTCAAAACATTACTTTTTAAGGTCAAAATATGAATTAAATCTTAGTTCATTAATAAAGCAATAAATTATAATTAAAGCTAATATATTGTTGCATAAGTCATTTTCTTGATTAATCTTAAACATGATGCTTGTTTTTAATCAGTTTAAAACATTTCAAACTTCAACACAACAATCTTCATAAGAGGAGTTATATATCATGTTCTAACAAATTTGACATATTTAGTTACATAAGATTAAATGAAATTGTTTTCAAAACCAAGATATAAAAATAAAAAGTTAACCGATTTATATCTTATATTTCTTTGGTAAATATTTAACGATGATTTTTGTAGAAATAAAATTTTTATAAAATACAAATATTTCATATTCGATTCATGTTCTAAATCAATTTACTCAATAGTTTTCTTTTTTAGAATTAGAAAAGATGAAACTGAAAAACTATTATCGTATTAGTTTCTGTAGTATTTAATCTGCTTAATATTCTGTTTCTTGTTCTTTTATTCTTTAGAACAAATTATTCTGTAAACTGTGTGATTAGATAAAATACTGTACAAAGTAATTCTAAACCTGTAAAAATTCTTATAATATTAAATTTAACCTTCCGAAACGTGACAGTTGTTTTTGATATGAAAAAGTCAATAGTGAGTTTGTTTTGTAGTTTATTTTTTTGTTTTTTGTACATTTGAAACTTAAATTTCCATTTTTTAAAGCTTCGTTTTTTGATGAATTAAAGAAAAAATTAGATTTTTGTTTAAAATCTTTCTGAAATTTAAAAATTTATAAAATTCATTTAATGTTTCCAATCATTTATATGTAAAAATTTCATACGTAGAAATTACTATAAATTTTAATAGTTTTTAAACTAAAATATATCCGATTATACGAGAAAATATGTAAAGCAGTTTTGATGGTATCAAATTACGTATATTTTATCTTTTAAGTCTTTACTCTGTACACTTATCAATTAATGAAGAATGATTTCAAGAAACAAAAGAGCACCACAATAGATCCTTCATTTCTTAAGAGGAGACCGAAATAGATACAATGTTGATAGCTACTTCACTACAAGAATAAATTATCTCAATTCACAACAGAAATTGCTACTTATTTATCTATACTGACCGAAAGCTGATTGTTATCCATTCAGTGACTTGCATAATAGAAATTTATAAGCTCATTTTTCTTCTAAAACAAAATCAATAGGACAACCTTAAGCTGAAAAAAGGTACTTTTATGTATGTGAATATCTCATGCTTTTAAATTTTACGCTATTGTAAATTTGTCATCTATTTTAAAACATTAAGATTTATAGGTGTAGGGCCTACATTACATCCTGTGACTTTTATAAAATAAAACATATTTGGTTTTAAACTAAAAATTTTAAATTGATCAATTAGAAAAAAATAATTCTATATTATTTTGTATTGATTTAGGTAAGCCATAATTAAATTATTAAATGAAACATTACTGTACAATATACGAATTATTTATTAACGTTATATCTTTACAGAATAGCTCAAAATATCAGAAATTATGACGACTTTGGATAATTTCTCACCAAATAGAATCTCACTTATAAAATTAAATGACATTTTCTATCTTCATGCCAAACAAGCACGCAACTTTAAATATTTTTATTAATATTTTAAACAATGTCGACATTATAAATTTTAAATGATTAACTAAACGAATGACATGACAATTAGATTCCAAATTTGTTAGAATCTAAAGAATAAGGTTTTTTGAAGTAAAACAAATGTCATATTCTATTAACTTTGTATAAATCGCAGAAAGATAAATTAATCTACTTAAATGTATTTATAATTTAAATATTCATTTACAAACACAGAAAGAAGACTGTATGAAACTAAATTCAAGAGTAGTTTAAATTTTAGTCTCTGAAGAATCTCTACTAGGGATAAAACATCCATTTTCTAAAGGCAAAATTCTATTAGTGATGATTACTTCATTGCTTGTGAAATATTTCTTTTGGTCACACTCTCCTAATACACGTTTCAGTATTTCCTCTTGTTCCAGACTATGGACATTCAATTTGGTGCAACTATTTTTTATGGGATGGGGAGAACCTTTATGAAGAGGACTGCTGCTTTCCTCTTCTGATGAAGGTGCGCTATCTTCACTGACAACACTTAACTGACGGCAATTATCTCCTGGTTTTCTTACGGATCCTAAACGTACTACTTCGCAGGAGGATCCGTCAATTTCTGGGAGCATATCGATTGTAGATGAAACACTTCTTGTGCCATCATCATAAACAGGACCGTCATCTCCTCTGCACTTTCGATCGCCTCTACCTCTTTGGAGGCACAAGGTACCTGTTCTGATTCCACGATTGCACGTGTAGGTCCCCTTGTACCTCATGGCACGTTTGGTGCAGAGACCATAACGACTGAGCAAAATGAAGAAGTCGCGACGGTACTGCTTCGTGAGGATGGCGTAAAGAAAAGGATTGGCGCATGAATTGAGCGGATAAAAAAATACCAATAAAATTTTAGATTTGGTGACATTGATAAGTGGATATCCGGCGATAGCCGTTAGACCAAAGAACGCTATCGGTGCCCAACAGGCAAAATCTGTAAATACTAGCATGGCCATTCTTTTAGCTACAGTTTTGTCATTTGCTGTGGCTCTTGATTGCTGTCGAGTAATAGATAAGTACATTTTTCCATAACATTGACAAATAAGGAGAAATGCAAGTCCATTGATGGTCAGTAACGTAGTGAGATAGGTTAAATCTGAACGAGTTTTGTTTTCCATTGGGAGACATATACTAGTTTTAGCGTAATCACTAATTCCTACGAGAGGTAAACTCGCCATTGTTATGGCATAAATCCACCCACAAATCATTATCTTTGCAGCCATTCCTAGTCGTAATCGTTTGTTGAGATGTATGGCATAAGTAATCGCATACCATCGTTCTAATGTAATAACCGTAAGAGTAAATATAGATAATTCACTGGCAAATACTGTCAGGAAACCAGCCACTTTACAACCAGAACCTGTAAATATTAATATTCAAAACATTACTTTTTAAGGTCAAAATATGAATTAAATCTTAGTTCATTAATAAAGCAATAAATTATAATTAAAGCTAATATATTGTTGCATAAGTTATATATAGTAAATATTTAAATTTTATCACAATATAAGTACTTGCCGTGCTGCCAATCTATGGCATAATTGAAGTATACTCCAATAGTATATACGTCCATCGATGCTATGATTAGAAGATAAAAGCCCATACAAAGGTCAGCAAATGCTAAATTACACATTAGAAACTTGGAAACACTCATAGTAAACCTGGTACTCATCAATACTATCATGACAGCTAAATTACCCAAGACAGCAGCGATTAATACAAACCAGACGGCCACCCTCAGACCAACATTACCCATGACATCTTCACAAGGATTAAAAGCATCGGGTGCGGGATAGCATCTAACATCTCTATAATTTTTGGCTAAATTTCCACAAAATGCTTGAATTTGAGTTTCTGGAGGTAATGAGACGGTGGTTGGATAAAATATTCCAATCTCAGTATCGTCATAATTTTTACCCTTAACCCCGTCCGGTTTAGATTTAGAAACTCCAGAAACTATATCTCTTAGAACTTCTACTGATCTGTAGGAAGTCGTATTTCCGGATAACAGATATACGAAGTGACCATAAGGATTTTCGGATATGGAAGAATAATTTATATCTTTGGATGCTTCGTTCGAACTACGCAATTTACGATATAATTTTTGTATAGTATAAAATAAATTGTTTTCTTCCGTAGCTGTATCCGAGGGATTTACAGTAGTTGTGACGTGAGAACAATATTTTCTTTGAGTATCTTCTTTTAATTTTTGATATTTTGCATATTCTTGAGGAGCGTGAGTATCAGGAAACTTAAAGGCGCAACAATGATAAGGATAAGTAAGATATGCTTCTTTAATATATTTAAAATGATATACTGAAGGAAAAACTTTCAATGTCACAGTGTCCATTAGTTTTAGAACTTCTAGTTCTTCTAAACCCTTAGTTGGAAGTTTCGTTATTGCGGTTTCTGATAAATCTCTAAAAAATCATTTAAATAAAAGAATTATTTAATATTTTTATATAAATATATCACAATTTCCTTTAAAAGTCCTGAATATCTTACAATTTCCTTAAATTTTGTAAACCATTAAAGGCGTCGTCTTCGATTGTCTTTAGTTTGCGATTTCCTTTTAAACTTCTGGAATTAAATATACATAATGTTTAAATTATATTATAAACATTTATAACATAATTAAGTATATAATAATTTAATTTTGTCAGCTATTATGTTATAAAGACGAAAACTGAAGATGTTTGCGTAGAAAATCAAAAATAATAAATTAACACGATATATCAAAAATGATAAGACCCAACGGGTTAACTGATTACGTATAATTTGAAAAGATCATATTTCTAGTTAATTATAATATTTGATTAGCAAGATAATTACATCTGAAAAACATGAAATATGAGTAAATGATTCTAACTAGAAAGTTTAAAAACAATTCTAAAAGTAACTTCAATTTATTAAATATCTTTATTTTCAATGAACAACTTTAAAAATTTTAGTAAGTGTTAGTTACCAATAACAACAATAATTGTGAAACAAAAAAGGTGATATTTTTAATAATTGTTATAAATACTAAAATAGTGTGTTTGAAATTACGGGATTTCAAATTTATACAATAATCTCTTACAATTGAGACCTTGTGGATAACTATTGCCTTTAGAAAGATGCTTTGTTCAATATCATACTTCTTTTTTACAATATGCATTTCTGCCAAATAACTATCTCGGCCCTCTTCAGTTGTAAATTAAACTGTTTCAATTTAAAAAATTTTTGGCTGTCTTCTTAATTTTTTTCCTTAATATTATTCCAAGTTCTTTTCCGAACATTATTAAGGAAAAAATTATTTATTTTATACATAAATTCCGAAAAACAAAGGATAATTGCTTACATATTAAAAATGCCTGATAAAAAGAGAAAAGAGAAATATCCGTAATATGAAATTAACTAGCAATTATTTATTGTGACATCGTCACAATGCCGAGCTGTAATTTTTAATCACATTTTTAATTTATTTAATTTATAATATATACTCTCCACCTGAAATTACTAGTGCTTACCCCTGTACATCATACTTTTCCTTTAACAATAGAGTCGTGTCGATCATCTAACATCTTCCAGGGAAAAATTTTTGAATTGAAATAACGTAATTTTCGGTTTGCATCAGAAGTTCGTATATAGTTAATCAGGGCCTATTGTCCACAAGGTTTCCATATCTGGTCTCAAGTTTCATCTATCTAAATCCGTTCTCGAGATTAAGGGAAGATGGATGAACGGATGACAATGAGAATTTATAGTCTGCAATTTTTTTTTTTTTCAAATTGCATCCCAATAAAGAGCTATGATAACAAACCTAAATATAACAAAACCTCAGACCAGTGCCGCAAAACCTAGCGGCCCTTAGACAAAATTTAAATTGAGGTCCCATTTAAATAAGTTGTTTTTAAACAAATCTTAAATAATGTCACTTAAAATTTTTATTCATAATAGAGAATATAAACACTAATATAATAATAATTGTATAATAAAAAAGTTTCTGAAATAAACAAAAATATATAAAAATGTATACAATTATAGTCATTAATCAGCCTCTAAAAGATTTAAAGTTTTCATTTTCGAATTTTCTTTTCAGAAAATTCATCAATAATATCTTCGCAATTTAACAGTTCGAGAGTATAGTTTTCTAGCAAGCGTTGGTAATGACCTTAGTTTTTCCGTCCTATTGAATTTCTTAAGTAATTTTTAACTGATTTAAAACAGAAAAGTTCTTTCTCCTGTTGCCTTCTTAATTTGTTTCCTTAATAATGTTTCAAGTTTTTTTTCCAAACATTATTAAAGAAAACATCTATTTATTTTATACATAAATTCCTAAAAGCAAAGGTTTTACAGGCTAGTTAAGTAAATTTTTAACAATATTTTTTTAAACAAAATTTTTAACAATATTTTTAACAATATATTTTTTATGAACTGGTACTGTACTGTACATATCATTTAGGCTTCGCAAATTTTGTTTTCTCTCCATTAAAATAAATTGTGTCGGTTCATCGTCTAGTTCTTCAACATCAATGTCATTGAAGTAAACTTTTCTTATTTCTCTTGTATAATCCGACACATTCTTTTCATTTTCAAGTTCTGTAAAAAATACTTGAAATATTTTGTTGATTTTTTTTTTATATTTTTTGCATTTTGTATCAATTTCGCTACAAATTTAGTCACAAATAACATAGAATGTATTTATTTTAAAATCTGTTTGACCGGTTAAATTGATATTTTCATGTGTTTGATTATCATCAAAAATTCGTTTCCGTTTTCTAGGTCTTTCTTGAGTACAGCGTCAAATTTGATGTCGGATATTGTCGAATAAATGAAAAAAATGTTTACGTTACTTGTTACAATAGCAACTTTAGTTGCAAACGGACAAACAGTGAACAGTGAATATGCATGTACAATATGCATATTTGGAGTTATCACATGTACAAATCTCATGCCCACTACACTCTGGTACAGTATGTAGCACTGAATCCGATTTTATTACTTTATCAATTATTTTTAAAATATTTTAATATATTTTCTAAAATTTATTATTATTTATTTATATTTTTTTCCTGTATTGAAGCCGGACCTCTCCGCATTTCGGGTCCTAGACATTTGTCTTATTTGTCTATTGGTTAATCCGGCACTGCCTAAGACTTAATTAAAAATTAAAACTAATAAATTTGAACAATTTGCTAGAAATGGTAATAATTTATTTCGTTTAAATTATTACCATTGAATAATATTTCTAAAATCATTATATTCATTCATTTATTTATTATATTCATCAGATATTCATTTTTCAGTCTAAAATTTATTAAACTTCACAAGAAATATTAGAAAAAATGGAAAAAGTCATTGAAAACTTAGATTGAAAATATCGTAATAAATCCTGTATTCGTCTAGGTATTCACAATTTTTGTCATAGAAATCGAATATATTTTTTATGTTCAAAAATCGAAAAGTTCGAAAAGAATTTCAAGTTCTAGCATCCATTTTTATACATGCGACAAATTCTTATTCAGTTCTTCAGTTGCTGCTGACCCGAGAGACATTTCTTTATCCTTGTCATTTAACATTAAAAGAGCTTATTTATACACTATGAACTGTAATCTTGGGTATAGCTGTTTCAGAACACTTTGTTTGATACCAGTTGATAAATCCATCATTCGTCACATTTATTACAATAACCAAAATGTTGGAAGCAGCCCTTCCATTTTTATCTATTTCTGAGACTGGAACACGAACTGTAGAACCTTGTGTAACGGGCGGAAACTTATTTTCAGAGATTTTTCATTTTCTTCGCTTGAAACTCCAGATTTATTTTTGAATTTTGTCTGCAACCAAGAGCTTTCTTATTTTTGAAACAAAGAGGACAAGTAGTAGATGCACCAAATCTTTCTTCCACAAATCAAAAGAAAATTTCCACAAATGGCATGAGTTCAGAATCCTGAATGATCACTACTAATTGATTTTAGACATAACAAATGAAGCGTTGATTCATGGGTTGAAGTTGAAGATTTAGGATATTGTGTCTTTAAACAGGGACTCACTTTCTCTTTAAAGTCACTTTTTTTTCAGCATCAGTAGAATCTAAATTAATATCTTTAATCTTTCTTTTTTGTGGCATTCAACACTTTTTTTGGGCAATGATGAAGTGTTCAAACTAACATTTATTTTGCAGCTGAACAGTGTCTCGTATAGAGATCTTTTGTATCAATACATGAATAGTAGGCGATGTTCTTCATTAACTGGTTGAACCACAAACCTTCACTCTTATTGAAGATTATTTTTATCCTGTATCCATGTTGTGATCATATTTTTTATACTTTAGTTTCCTCTTTCTATGCTTCTTTGGCTTTGACTTAGTCCCGGGATTTCCCGTGCACAGTTTTCAGTTCAGACCAGTAACCCTTCAAATTACAGAGTTTTGTTTGCAAATTTTCCTCCGTTATCGTACTGAAGCACCACGAAAAATAAATGTATCAAGTAAAACCATATGCTACTTTTTCATCTCTCTTGGATTTAAGAGCTCTCAATACCACAAACTTTTTAGGTGGTCATGATAAATTAAGATCACTATTAGGATAAGTTTGAAAATCTATCAGGTCCGCTGGATATCAAGAGTTAAATTCTTACGACATCAGTGGCTTTATTACGATATCTTTCTGTTTCTGTTGACAAGATTTACACAGCTGCAAGAAAAGTTCTATATCATGTTGAGTAATAACGTATTAGCATACTTAATCAATAGCTCTTTCAGCATCCTATCTCCACCATGATCAACAGAAGCATGAAAAATGTCTATATTCAAAAATATATTGAATACAGAGTCTCACCAGTCTGCTTTTCGAGGATATTGTCAGTGTGTTCGCTGTATTTGGTATTTGTCGCTTTTTTTGGCCGATGATTACAATTTTCAATGTTTTAGTAATAATAATCTATGTCCTAATAATCAATCAAGCAATACTGAAGACGGCTACTCAAATTACTTTTCTCAAATTTCTGTCTGGCAAGGAAGGAAACGACACTAGAAATTTTAAAAATTGTTCTCGGAAAGATGGTAGACCATAATGGGCAGCAAAGATTTTTTGGATTAAGCAAAAAAAAATTGTTATTATGTTACATAGTAATGCTTGAGAAGACAGGGAATTAAGCATTATAAAGAAAAACAAAATTGATATCATAAATTGTTTGCAGAACGATGAGACATTGTTTTGTCCTGCTTACTTGTTAGTTGCACTGGGTTTCAATCAATACTAACAAGTAAATGCCATGAATTACAAATTCTTATTACTCGAAGAAAGCCAAGGCTGCCAATAGAAATTATAAAGAAATCTTTTTTAAATCCAAACTGTACCTGGACTATTGTATACCTATAAATGTACCGTATATGTAATGTAGCTCTAAAAAGAATTTCATTATTATTGGTGATAAAAATTTTCTTTCTCTAACTTCTTGTAAAACACTTGCATCATAATGTTTTTGCGAGTATTTTGCACAGTATCCGTCTTTACATTTCACAAAATTCAACGAATTTATGAGATAATGTTGAAAAACTTGTGTCCGTTATTTTGACAATGAAATTTTTATGTGTTAATTTCAAACAAATGCTGAATCTAGCCTATTTTAAAATAATTAATTTTTAAATTTTTTAAATTTCTAACTGAAAAATAGATAATCTTAAAGGAACATTTATAAAAATAGTATTTAAGTTATATCTTGATTACAAGACGAAAGATGTATACTGTTCGTTTCATACTTTGCCAGCAAAGCATCCTGCATCCTATGAAATGCATAGGCAAAACATGTATTTATTTCAGACTTTACCGACTGTTTTTAGGCATTTTATACAATTCCTCAATTTCATATTTTTCCGGTAACGTAAAATGCAATGACAATAAATGATAATCTTGCTTATAAAAGCAATGAATGAATTAGAATATAATTAATAAAATGCAATGACAAATAATTTGTATATCACTTACTCATATTTTTGTAATTACAGAGTTTAAAATGTAAATATAAATTTGAAATTCAATAAAAATGCATTAAAAAGTAAGTTTTTAGATATTTAAAATTAGCATTTCTTACAGTTTAGCGATATTAGATCCGTGAAATGCCCAATCTTCAATGATTTCTATAGCATTAAAATCGAGATTCCTGTCAAAAATTTTTAAAAATTATTTTCAAATAACAAAAAATTAATATAATATCCATATAATACAATGGAATAATATAAATATATCGCTTTTAGCCCTTAATACTATTTAATAATTAGTCTAAATCAAACAAGACACACACACTCACACACATGTATATGATAAGTCCGTATATATGTAAATATATATGTATATACGTCTTGTTGATTTAGATTATTAAATCAATATAATACAATGTGCTATAGACTATTTTATATATAAGTTAATCTTATTATTTATATTAATAGTTTAAATTTTCTTTCCTATAAATTGCCATTACTTTCTTAAGGTTGCATCATTGTTAACAGTTTATTTATAGAAGCTTAATACGTGTTAAGGTGAATTCTTAGAAATTATTTTATTCATTTTTGAAATTATATTTAAAAACTTTTATTTATGAATATGAACATTTATTTAGAACTGTTATATAAAGATGTGTTGTAAATGTTTTATGGACTTAGTTTTAAAAATTATATAAAATATTTTAGAAATTCCTATTAAAATGTTTATTCACATACATGATTTCTGCTTGAACTTTGACTGACATTGTTGATAGATTTCGTATCCTGTTGCTATCGAAGTCACTAGAATGAAAAGAAATTGTGACGAAATCTCAAACATGAAAACAAATATATATTTTTTAGTATAATTTTTAAACGTATAATAAATCTATGTGATTTAACAAGGAAATTCACAGAAAAAATTGCCTTTGAATATATTTCTGAAACGATAAATTAATATAAGCGTAAATTATTTTGGCAATAATGCGATATTAAACGTAAATATGTAATTAGTAAATTATTGAATATTCTTATAATATAAAAAATTAAATATTCAAAAACTTTTGAAAAGAAATGAAAAAAATTACATTTTATAATTTAAAATTCACAAAAAACTAATTCAGTTACTTTTGATCAATTTATTAACTAATCATAATTGAGTATTGGAAGAAAAACACTTTAACACAATTCTGAATTAGGGAAGAAAGCGTAGGAAATAGACTTTTTGGACTTCATGGAATAAGAATTAAAGGTATAAATTATCTATTAGTCTCATCTCATCTATTAGTAAAATTTCAATCTATTTTTTGATTAAAAATAATTTATTATAATAAAATTTAAAATTTTTTAAAAATTACTTTCTATAAACTTTTCTAATTTCTAAACTTTTTGAGCAAACAATTCTTAAACTTTATGAAATTCAAATATTTCTATTTAGTATTTAATGCAATAATTATTATTTTTTTAAATAATCTAATTTAAATTTAGCCATTTTAAATATTATAAAACTTAAATTGGCAAAATTAAAATAAAAATATTTTAAAAATGGAAAACTTTCCTTAAAAATAGATGCTTAGAAAGTAAAATTTCTAAATATTTACATGACTACGAATTCGTTGACATAAATTAGTTATATTATATGAATGTTTTACTGCTATTATTTTTTAATTATTAAAATTACAGAGGAATTTTATATTTATTTCTTATTTATTTATAATTTAAATTCTTTAATTTCATATACTTCATTAAATTAAACTTTTATAACGCGATAATTTTTTCAATTATTCGAATTTTCCACTAAAAGTTTAATGATTTATTTTGACGATTGTACTAAAATTTTACCACAGTATCAGTTTTAAATGATAAAATATATTTATACATATGTTTACGATTTTATGGTATAAATTTTAAAATTATTAAAATTAGTCAAAACCGTTGGATTGATACGAAATAAATCAAAACTTTTCCTCATTTTGACAGTGATAAATGTTCAAGATTCTAAAATGTGCATTTATCAGTGGCTCAACTTTAAAACTGTCAGCCGTTTTCTTCGGTCAAACAATCACGTCTTCAGTACAATAAAAAAAAAGTAAAATGGAGAATGGCACGACCTCTGAATTGGAAATTTCTTTCGGAAAAGAACTAGTTAGAAAAGATCTTTAAAATGAAAGACAAGTCATGTAAAAAATTTGCAAAGAAAGGAACAAACAATACATGAAAAAGGACGAGTAGGAAAGAAAATTCTTCGTTCACATTGTATTTTTTTTTACATTTTATTTCTATCATGTTGGTATTACACATTTCTTTTATTGTATTTTATTTTTAATGGTTTTATCAACTGTTAGAACTAAAAATATATTTAAATTTATTGATTTATCTTTTATATTTACCAGGTATTTGATTAACTCAAAGATTCTCAACCTTTCTTACTAATTCCTTTCCAAAATTATATGTAACACGGCAACCCCTTTCTTCATCAATACAAAATAAGAATAAATTACAAATAAGATGAAATAAAAAAAAATTAAATAATCAAACAAAAATCTAACTTGAAAATTGTATTATACTTTACTAAAATTTAAAGTTATATCAACTGAATATAAGTTATTTTTAATTATAATAAATTTAAAATAAATTTGTCCACAGAACTTCATTAATTTATTGACCCTATAAATAAATCTATCGAATCCTGTAGGGTCACTAGCGATCAGGTTGGGAACACCTGGATTAAACATACTGTTAATTTTAATTGTCGTATTAATATGATACTGCTTAATTATCTTAATAAATGAAAAAGAATGCGAAATTTATAAAAGAAAAATTGTTTAAAGTTTTATTATTTTAATAGAAACCAACTGAATTAAAATTACAAATTTTGTTAAACTTTTAAAACGAATTTGGTTTAATGACAGCTTTGTTAAATTGTAATTCAATTTTCTAGAAGCAAGTTGTAAATAGGTAATTAAATATAATTTTTCAAATTAAGCATTTAATCAATCAATAATTGGCTTTGTTATGTATCGAAAATTTTTTTATCTTTAATATTTCTAAAATTAAAAAAAAAATCAACAAGCAAACGTAAGTGAAAAGTAAATATTAAAATTTCAAAGTAATTATAAGAAGTGATATAAAAACTTTGCTTACATCATGGAGATGATATTTTTGGTATGAAGGGNTGTCACAATGCCAAGCTGTAATTTTTAATCACATTTTTAATTTATTTAATTTATAATATATACTCTCCACCTGAAATTACTAGTGCTTACCCCTGTACATCATACTTTTCCTTTAACAATAGAGTCGTGTCGATCATCTAACATCTTCCAGGGAAAAATTTTTGAATTGAAATAACGTAATTTTCGGTTTGCATCAGAAGTTCGTATATAGTTAATCAGGGCCTATTGTCCACAAGGTTTCCATATCTGGTCTCAAGTTTCATCTATCTAAATCCGTTCTCGAGATTAAGGGAAGATGGATGAACGGATGACAATGAGAATTTATAGTCTGCAATTTTTTTTTTTTCAAATTGCATCCCAATAAAGAGCTATGATAACAAACCTAAATATAACAAAACCTCAGACCAGTGCCGCAAAACCTAGCGGCCCTTAGACAAAATTTAAATTGAGGTCCCATTTAAATAAGTTGTTTTTAAACAAATCTTAAATAATGTCACTTAAAATTTTTATTCATAATAGAGAATATAAACACTAATATAATAATAATTGTATAATAAAAAAGTTTCTGAAATAAACAAAAATATATAAAAATGTATACAATTATAGTCATTAATCAGCCTCTAAAAGATTTAAAGTTTTCATTTTCGAATTTTCTTTTCAGAAAATTCATCAATAATATCTTCGCAATTTAACAGTTCGAGAGTATAGTTTTCTAGCAAGCGTTGGTAATGACCTTAGTTTTTCCGTCCTATTGAATTTCTTAAGTAATTTTTAACTGATTTAAAACAGAAAAGTTCTTTCTCCTGTTGCCTTCTTAATTTGTTTCCTTAATAATGTTTCAAGTTTTTTTTCCAAACATTATTAAAGAAAACATCTATTTATTTTATACATAAATTCCTAAAAGCAAAGGTTTTACAGGCTAGTTAAGTAAATTTTTAACAATATTTTTTTAAACAAAATTTTTAACAATATTTTTAACAATATATTTTTTATGAACTGGTACTGTACTGTACATATCATTTAGGCTTCGCAAATTTTGTTTTCTCTCCATTAAAATAAATTGTGTCGGTTCATCGTCTAGTTCTTCAACATCAATGTCATTGAAGTAAACTTTTCTTATTTCTCTTGTATAATCCGACACTTTCTTTTCATTTTCAAGTTCTGTAAAAAATACTTGAAATATTTTGTTGATTTTTTTTTTATATTTTTTGCATTTTGTATCAATTTCGCTACAAATTTAGTCACAAATAACATAGAATGTATTTATTTTAAAATCTGTTTGACCGGTTAAATTGATATTTTCATGTGTTTGATTATCATCAAAAATTCGTTTCCGTTTTCTAGGTCTTTCTTGAGTACAGCGTCAAATTTGATGTCGGATATTGTCGAATAAATGAAAAAAATGTTTACGTTACTTGTTACAATAGCAACTTTAGTTGCAAACGGACAAACAGTGAACAGTGAATATGCATGTACAATATGCATATTTGGAGTTATCACATGTACAAATCTCATGCCCACTACACTCTGGTACAGTATGTAGCACTGAATCCGATTTTATTACTTTATCAATTATTTTTAAAATATTTTAATATATTTTCTAAAATTTATTATTATTTATTTATATTTTTTTCCTGTATTGAAGCCGGACCTCTCCGCATTTCGGGTCCTAGACATTTGTCTTATTTGTCTATTGGTTAATCCGGCACTGCCTAAGACTTAATTAAAAATTAAAACTAATAAATTTGAACAATTTGCTAGAAATGGTAATAATTTATTTCGTTTAAATTATTACCATTGAATAATATTTCTAAAATCATTATATTCATTCATTTATTTATTATATTCATCAGATATTCATTTTTCAGTCTAAAATTTATTAAACTTCACAAGAAATATTAGAAAAAATGGAAAAAGTCATTGAAAACTTAGATTGAAAATATCGTAATAAATCCTGTATTCGTCTAGGTATTCACAATTTTTGTCATAGAAATCGAATATATTTTTTATGTTCAAAAATCGAAAAGTTCGAAAAGAATTTCAAGTTCTAGCATCCATTTTTATACATGCGACAAATTCTTATTCAGTTCTTCAGTTGCTGCTGACCCGAGAGACATTTCTTTATCCTTGTCATTTAACATTAAAAGAGCTTATTTATACACTATGAACTGTAATCTTGGGTATAGCTGTTTCAGAACACTTTGTTTGATACCAGTTGATAAATCCATCATTCGTCACATTTATTACAATAACCAAAATGTTGGAAGCAGCCCTTCCATTTTTATCTATTTCTGAGACTGGAACACGAACTGTAGAACCTTGTGTAACGGGCGGAAACTTATTTTCAGAGATTTTTCATTTTCTTCGCTTGAAACTCCAGATTTATTTTTGAATTTTGTCTGCAACCAAGAGCTTTCTTATTTTTGAAACAAAGAGGACAAGTAGTAGATGCACCAAATCTTTCTTCCACAAATCAAAAGAAAATTTCCACAAATGGCATGAGTTCAGAATCCTGAATGATCACTACTAATTGATTTTAGACATAACAAATGAAGCGTTGATTCATGGGTTGAAGTTGAAGATTTAGGATATTGTGTCTTTAAACAGGGACTCACTTTCTCTTTAAACTCACTTTTTTTTCAGCATCAGTAGAATCTAAATTAATGTCTTTAATCTTTCTTTTTTGTGGTGTTCAACACTTTTTTGTGCAGTGAAGTGTTCAAACTAACCTTTATTTTGCAGCTGAACAGGGTCTCGTATAGAGATCTTTTGTATCAATACATGAATAGTAGGCGATGTTCTTCATTAACTGGTTGAACCACAAACCTTCACTCTTATTGAAGATTATTTTTATCCTGTATCCATGTTGTGATCATATTTTTTATACTTTAGTTTCCTCTTTCTATGCTTCTTTGGCTTTGACTTAGTCCCGGGATTTCCCGTCACAGTTTTCAGTTCAGACCAGTAACCCTTCAAATTACAGAGTTTTGTTTGCAAACTTTCCTCCGTTATCGTACTGAAGCACCACGAAGAATAAATGTATCAAGTAAAACCATATGCTACTTTTTCATCTCTCTTGGATTTAAGAGCTTTCAATACCACAAACTTTTTAGGTGGTCATGATAAATTAAGATCACCATTAGAATAAGTTTGAAAATCTATCAGGTCCGCTGGATATCAAGAGTTAAATTCTTACGACATCAGTGGCTTTATTACGATATCTTTCTGTTTCTGTTGACAAGATTTACACAGCTGCAAGAAAAGTTCTATATCATGTTGAGTAATAACGTATTAGCATACTTAATCAATAGCTCTTTCAGCATCCTATCTCCACCATGATCAACAGAAGCATGAAAAATGTCTATATTCAAAAATATATTGAATACAGAGTCTCACCAGTCTGCTTTTCGAGGATATTGTCAGTGTGTTCGCTGTATTTGGTATTTGTCGCTTTTTTTGGCCGATGATTACAATTTTCAATGTTTTAGTAATAATAATCTATGTCCTAATAATCAATCAAGCAATACTGAAGACGGCTACTCAAATTACTTTTCTCAAATTTCTGTCTGGCAAGGAAGGAAACGACACTAGAAATTTTAAAAATTGTTCTCGGAAAGATGGTAGACCATAATGGGCAGCAAAGATTTTTTGGATTAAGCAAAAAAAAATTGTTATTATGTTACATAGTAATGCTTGAGAATAGAGGGAATTAAGCATTATAAAGAAAAACAAAATTGATGTCATAAATTGTTTGCAGAACGATGAGACATTGTTTTGTCCTGCTTACTTGTTAGTTGCACTGGGTTTCAATCAATACTAACAAGTAAATGCCATGAATTACAAATTCTTATTACTCGAAGAAAGCCAAGGCTGCCAATAGAAATTATAAAGAAATCTTTTTTAAATCCAAACTGTACCTGGACTATTGTATACCTATAAATGTACCGTATATGTAATGTAGCTCTAAAAGGAATCTCATTATTATTGGTGATGAAATTTTTCTTTTCTAACTTCTTGTAAAACACTTGCATCATAATGTTTTTGCGAGTATTTTGCACAGTATCCGTCTTTACATTTCACAAAATTCAACGAATTTATGAGATGCTGTTGAAAAACTTGTGTCCGTTATTTTGACAATGAAATTTTTATGTGTTAATTTCAAACAAATGCTGAATCTAGCCTATTTTAAAATAATTAATTTTTAAATTTTTTAAATTTCTAACTGAAAAATAGATAATCTTAAAGGAACATTTATAAAAATAGTATTTAAGTTATATCTTGATTACAAGACGAAAGATGTATACAGTTCGTTTCATACTTTGCCAGCAAAGCATCCTGCATCCTATGAAATGCATAGGCAAAACATGTATTTATTTCAGACTTTACCGACTGTTTTTAGGCATTTTATACAATTCCTCAATTTCATATTTTTCCGGTAACGTAAAATGCAATGACAATAAATGATAATCTTGCTTATAAAAGCAATGAATGAATTAGAATATAATTAATAAAATGCAATGACAAATAATTTGTATATCACTTACTCATATTTTTGTAATTACAGAGTTTAAAATGTAAATATAAATTTGAAATTCAATAAAAATGCATTAAAAAGTAAGTTTTTAGATATTTAAAATTAGCATTTCTTACAGTTTAGCGATATTAGATCCGTGAAATGCCCAATCTTCAATGATTTCTATAGCATTAAAATCGAGATTCCTGTCAAAAATTTTTAAAAATTATTTTCAAATAACAAAAAATTAATATAATATCCATATAATACAATGGAATAATATAAATATATCGCTTTTAGCCCTTAATACTATTTAATAATTAGTCTAAATCAAACAAGACACACACACTCACACACATGTATATGATAAGTCCGTATATATGTAAATATATATGTATATACGTCTTGTTGATTTAGATTATTAAATCAATATAATACAATGTGCTATAGACTATTTTATATATAAGTTAATCTTATTATTTATATTAATAGTTTAAATTTT